GTATCAATCACTATAGCTAAAAACTTACCTTCTAAGATATATTTATAGTATTTTAAAAGGATATTTCCAATGAGAACGTGACAGGTTGAGTAGACTACACAATTAAAAATTTAAAAGAGCTCCTCTGTATTATTGAAAGAAAACCTCGCAATATTAAGATTAGATATGCTTAAATAAGTCTATTTATCTTATCAGTCTATTGGTTTCAAAATAAGAAGACTAAAAAAGTGATGTATTATATCTCTTAGAATTTAGCACAACTCAAAAGTGTATTTCAAATAAATAAAAAGAAATAGACTGCAGATCAAGTATTTGGGAATGACTATTTTGACTACATTTATAGTATTGTGATCATAGACACAGAATAGCACTTTATCATATATATTCTGGATGGTATCTTTCTTATAAGCGATAGCTAAAGGACCGTATTAGTGTAGATAGTTCTCTAGCTAGTAAGAGGGCTAGGATCAAAAAAATTATCAAAAAATAATATGTATTCTGGACTACTTTCTAAACATTTGTATTTAATTTTGCATGTAATAGTAAAAAATTTCTTAGCAAAACTGTGAACAATATTCATGATCAGCCAAAATGACCTACTTATTTTTTGATTTTGAATACTAGTATTATAGAGTATTAAAATATTATCATGTCATCTGAACTTGATTCATTGAGACAATGCATCATTAAGCTTAAGGCTGAGAATGTTGAGGTTAAGGCCAAATATATCAAGGTTATGGATGAGAATGCAGAGATCAAGGCTGAGAATGCAAAGTTAAGGTGTACTTTGAAAGAATATGAAGCTAGATTCACGAGACTAGAGCAGAGAGATAAAGAAAAGATCAACCTTATTACCAAAATGGATAATGATATTGTGAACGGATGAATGTAATACAACTTATATAGTGCAGAAAATTGACTGATTTGACATAACTGACATATACGACATGTCAGACATATGTGACATATGTAACATAACTAACATATTAGACATAGTTAACATGGTTGATATATTAGATATAGTTGACATATTAGACATAGTTGATATATTAGACATGTTAGTTATATTTCTCTATGTAATTTATTTTATATAAATAGGTAGTTTTTTAGTTTATGTAAAAGAGAGAGACCGATAGGAACTTGATAATATAGTTTTAGTAGTTTTAGAGGTAACTGGCCTACCGCATCACCTTTTAATTTTAGTATTTTATTTTTTTCTCTTTCTTATTTTTCGTCTTTATTTTCTTTTACTTTTCTTCTTTTTCTTCATCTTTATTATTATTTTACTCATGAATAAACACAATACAGTCAACTCTTGTTATAATGAACTCTATATTCTAGACTTCAACTTTGCTATAAGGTTATAGTGAAGATTTTAAGAGATTTAATTAGCCAATTCACTATAACAAAAGTATTTTTATTATATTTGTTCAAAAAATTCGTTATATCAAGAGTTCGCTATAACAAGAGTTGACTGTATTTATAAATACATACTACTGATAATCTGTTGAATCATAACTTGTTGTAATAATATAAATACTTTGATAAATTATCTGAGTTAAAGCTTATAAACTGTTGAAAGATTATTACTCAATTAAAAAGAATAGACTGCTTGAACACCCCGTCTAACAGTCATAGTTCGCAAGAATTACATGTTAATAATATCAAGAAAATCAAACAATTATCAGCCAATACCAGCTCTAACGAAAACTCTAATAATGTTGTTCATCTGGATAAACTAGAAAGATGGCAAACCCATTAAATACATCTAATAGTACATTTAATTCTAATGTATACAAACCTATTCGCACAGAAACTAAGTCATTAGAGGATAAAGAAACAGATGATTTCTTTGATGAGTTACATAAGAAAGGGTTAGTGATGAGATAAGGTAATGTAAAAGAGAGAAAAAAAATTTAACGTGAGTCAACTGTCTCTTCTAACTTATCATGTGTTACAGAAACTTCTCTAAGAAATCATAATGAAAACAAAAGTAACACAAAACTATGAACATTATTCACGATCAAGAAAAGATTTCATTGAAAGACTCTGTGCAAAAAATGCCTGAAAGACTTAATGAGTATGTTTTTCAGAAAGAATCAGATTCAGGCTTAGTAACTGAAATTTTATGAGACTTATTACAAGGATTTCTGGTAGATGATTTCTAGAGGAATTTATTAATACTGAATTTATTGATAGAGAGCATTCTAATTCTTTACCTGTTATAGAAGAGATTGCATATTTATTTCATCAAGCGAGTATAGTAAGGAAAATTCAATTAAAGCTAAGCAGAAAGAGATTTCATCTTAGGGTCGCTACTCTGAAAGATTCAAAAATAAGATCATAAAGTTCAGATCTGAAGATAAAAATTTTAAGAATAAGATAGCAAGGTTTCAGATTTATAATAAAATGAAATTATACCTTTCAGATGTTTTTGATGAATATTTACATAAGATAACAAGCAAAGTAAGGAAGATCAATAAGCTATTTAGATATGATTATGATTCTATAACTCTAAAAAAGATTAAAGGTATAGGATGATATATAATTAATCGGGTTATCTATAGTACTGATAATATTTCCAAACTCACTAATCTTCAAATTCAATATATTATAGATTGAGTGAACTTAACTATCACCAATAAAACCGTAAACAATGTTTATAATCAGAGTCATATGACTTTAGAAATGATTACTAGTGATACAACTACTCCAATCATACTGCTAAGCATGAGTCGTATAATTAGCGAAAAAATTGTAAATGCATCTCAAACTATACTAGCTGGAATACTAGCATTCTCTTAGCCAAATGCTTCACCAGAAATGATTTCATCAGACATGTTTCAAGCAAGTGTATTATTTGCATCCCAATTTAAGCTAGCTTATGATTATTCCTATTTTCGCAATAAGATATTAGATCAATATCCTAATCTATATAGAGAATATAGTAGTGAAAATTTTGATTATTATGGGATTAATGATGAGACATCATGCGGAAACTATATCTGCCCATTATGCAAATTAGGTCATGATGATAAAGAAATAGAAGGTAGGTATAAAGCAGAATTTTACTTTATTAAATGTGAATAGTGTGAAATTGAGATAGTTGTATAATCTCATCTCTTTATAATAGTCTGGAAAATTTAATCTTTTTTTTCATATGAATAGTCTATATGAGAAAAAGGGATTTGAATTGTCTGCAATCATATAAAAAAGAAAATGACTGAGTCTGTTAAAATACTAACCGCTAATTATCTAGATTGACATGCCAAATTAACTGGGTTACTAAGTATTTTGACAGATAAGATTCGTTTCAAATTATACAAAAGATATAAAAAAGAAACTGAAAATGAATTATGACAATTATCAGAAGCTGTGAATAAGTATATCAGAAAAACCTCAAGCCTCTGATTTTAAGCCCATCACTTTCGAAGCCAGACTGGATCCAGAATTAATTATCAAATCTGTCTTAGAGCACTTCTCATACTTGAAATTCTGAAATAGTTTCAGAGAGATTGATAATTATAATGTATCTACTTAGCGTCATCCCTATTTGTGATGAAAAATATGGGAATTATAGATTACATGGCTCATGATACTGTAGAAATGGGAATCAGCTTCCATATGATCCTAAATTAGCAAAGTTATTATCTCAAAATAAGTTAGAATATTATCTTAGCTGTAACTCTTCAAGTAATAAATTCAAGTTTGCAATCGTAGCCACGTGATAGCAAAGATATTATTCCGCAATATTCACCAAACTAATCTAGTAATTATAAAAAAATTTAGTGATTATCATGAGCACTTATTTAATAGTTGTCTCGTGACTTTATAATAGTCTCTTTATTTTGCAATATAATTGGTTAAAAATTCTTATTTAGAAAACTGATTGTAACATTTAATCAAAAATCTCATCACAAAAATCACACGCTTTCTTGACGTATTTTTTTATAGTCTACAAATAAGCATAATTAACAGAGTACACAAATATTTCGATTGAAAACTACGAAATGGGATATTCTCGAGTTTTTAGAGGAATACGAAGAGAAAATATTCTATCGAAAAATAGAGATTTATCTTCTATTTCTATAGACCATAGTTAATAGTCTCAAAATATTGAAAGGCCTAAGTTATGATAAGGCATGACTGTTTCTAGATAGGCATAAGGTAAGTATAAGAGCTTTTTTTTAGAAATGCAAAGAAATAAGTGGCGTGGTAAGGATCTGTAGGCTCTCTATCATTCAAGACTGCGGGTCGAGCTATAAAGTAAGTGTTGAAGTATAGACAAACTGTGAGCTTGTCTGATGTTCAAACCTGAGGGGTAACCCAATACTTGCATTAGGTGAACTGCGGGCTTACTGATGTTAAGCTTGCAGGGTGACTTGATAGAATGAAAATCAAACGGAAAATTTTTTAAGTCACTAGTCAAGAATATTTATTATTAAATTTTCTAAATATTTATTCTAGATTGATCAGACTGATCATAAAGAATTCAGAAATTGGTTAGAATCTAAGAAAAGTGAATCAGCTAGTAAACCCTCAGTTAATCTATACAACCTAACAATTACCAAGAGTACTATAAATTCTCTGATTAATTCAGAAATGGTTGATAATTCTAAAAGAAAACAGGAAAAGATATAAAAATGCATTTTTCTATAAGTTGCGAAAATCTACAAAATATTGGCTGTCTTATTAAGGTAGTTTTAACTCTTTCATATATTTAGTCTGATGATGATTTTTAACCCATTCGATAAAAACAAAAATAAATCTACCCTTATCTCTCTCAAAAAAGGTCAGTATAATGGTAAAGTTGTATGTCACTTTGAATTTATGTAGCATTTTTTAATGACTGTTTATTGTATCTACAAGACATTAAATCGGTTGGCTCAGCTGAAATATATATAGAATGCAACCCTATGATGAGAAGTGAATTAATTTTCTACTTGTTATGTGAACAGGTCAAAATCACCAGCAGAAAATATACTGAAAATGAAAAAAACATGGATAGTTGTGAGGATGATGAGTTAGATTATAGCAACTATGAGGTAGATCTAAACATAGAATTGGAAGAATTGGAGAAGTAGAAACCCATTAAAAAATATTTAAAAAAGTATCCTAACGAAGACAGCCCAAGTGATATTTAGATATTGCCTTCCTGCAAATCTATAAACGAAGTAATTCGTGGTCCTGAAGACCTACATAAATTACAGTAAGTTTTATGTTTTTTACTACTTCTCTTATCTTTGATCTAACACATTAACTTGTCCATTTATATATTCAGCTTGTCATATCTAGAAATTATACGTATTGGTACAAAAGTTCATAGACCTGAATGGATTTAACTAAATGATTAGGATTATTTACAAGCCACCATTGAATATCCAGATTATAATTTATCACCCAATATGAAAAATCTGTTTAATACACTATTAGAGACTGTAAGTACATATTAGCATTGTATTTTTTAATAAAATTATTATTTACATTTTTTTATTAATTAATAACAGGACACATTAATTGAGTATAAAAAATTTCTTTGTAATATCAAATTTGATCATGAAACAAATAATGAAATGATATTTGTAACAGATGTTCTTACATGGTTGTAAGTATATTTTATTTTTGCAAAGATAGTGCATATTTATTATTTCATCTTTTATTTGTTAATTTAACTTATTTTGAAAGTGCAAAAACGTATTCAACACTGGATCAGCTTTTTATAGCAGGAATAAAAATGAGGCAATTTTAGGTTTACTCATGATTCACCTGATTTTACAGTATCTTGCAAATGCAGTAACTGGTCATGCTATATATGTACCGTATATTTCTCAATTTTAATAACAAATTTATAGTTGATTTTCATTTCATCTTTTTTCATAATATTAAAATTTAAAAATAGTGAAGAGGTTTATTCTAAGGCCAGCACAAATCAGCGATTATTATAACGTGATCTTAAACCTGTTAATGATAGACTCCTTGGTATGAAAGTTGATAGTTTTTTCGAATCCTTTGGTGAAAAAGGTCTTGGATTATATATGATAGAATTATCTGAAGGTTATTTGACCTTTGATATGCCTTACTATCTGAAGAATCACATGAAGGGATACTGGGGCTGTCATGACCTTCTTAATAACATAATTACAAAATATAATCATGGTAATTTAAATTTATGAGACGTTTGCGAGTTTGATTTTTTTATGCGCATGGTAAGTTAATAATTAAGTTTTAAATCTTTGAATTTAGCACTTAAATTAATTTATCTGATCTGTTTGCAAATAGAACTATCAGTACAAATATGGGGTATTGATCTATCCATTTCAAAAGTTTATTAAATGTTTCTTATTAGAACTTTTCAACTCCCAATCAGTTGGGAGAGCAATCATGAACTAATGCATACTCTTAAGATCTTGTGAAATCTTAAAGTAAAGTTTTTGTGATTTTAGGTTGTATTGTTATATCTCATTGCTAATGATTATTTTTTGCACAGAAAGGTTTAGATAATAGTATTAGAGTACTTGAATAGCTCAAGAAATCACACCACAAAAATTCAGCTTTATGTTCTCAAAATTCTTCATTAAAAAAACATATAGGTAATACTAAGAATTTACTACAAAACCTAAAAAAAAAATTCACGTATAATAAGTCTGCTTATGATTTATGATGATGATTATGATTATTCTGATTATGACGAACCACCTTCCCCCTTCACTGTTGAATTGGTATTGAATTATTTTCACAAAATTTTTATGCTTAGTTCACACGAAAGGTAAAAGAAAATTTTCAAGATGTGAATAATAATAATATCTTGCAGAATTTAATTTTTAACACAGGAAAAAATATCGTTATATAATAAAGCTTATATTTCATCAAATTTGCATTTAATCATATTTATGACTTTGATTAATTTTCTTAATGATGGCTGTTACTGAAATTTCATGTAAATACATGTTTAAAAATTGATGATAATACAGTTCGTATAGCCTAGTCCTAACAAATGCATTTTTAAGTGACCAAAATTTGAAATATCGATTTTTTATCACGTGATCAATAATCTTGCAATATTATTGGTTTATACATATACACGTAATAACATCACAGATTATAAGTACCATAGTCTATTATATCACGATTAGTTTATCATAAAGTTTAATATATTCAATACAAAATAAAATGAACAAATAATTTCTTAGTAATACATTTTTATTGTGATACATTTCTATTGTGATACATTTCTTTATAATACACTTGTGATTTTATTTCCATTTGTTACATTATTAAACAATAGAAAAATCATCTAATTGTGATTATCCTATTTTTTGCTTTGTATTGTGTGATTAAAAAAATTTTTATTTTTTGTAAAAAGAATCAATAATAAAACTTAATACTTACCATTGCTAACTAGAAAATTGATATGCTCCGTCTAACAAAACGTCAAAAACAATCAAAAAATGCCTATAAAATAAATAATATACAAGTTAATGTCGATGATGTATCTGCTCTTGATGATTCTGAAGATTACCTTGATGTTAATAATATTCCTTTTCATAACGACTATGTTAATGATGAACTGGTAGAAAATGATAATACCACAAAAATTGTAAAAAAACTTCATGAAGCAATGAAAAAATATTACCAAGAAGATGCTTTTGATGAAGTACGTAGACTATGTTACATAGAAAATTCAAATCGCACTAGAAGAAGAAAGAATCAACAGCAGCGTGAGGTAGCAAAGGGAACTCGAACATTACATACCTTTTGGGACACCAAAAAACCTATTGAAGAGATCAATAAGGAGTTGGTTGATGAGACTAATATAGAAGAGTTAGATGATGAAAATAAAACTAATATAGAAGAATCAGATAATAAGGATGAAACTAATATAGAAGAGTTGGACGATGAGATTGAGGATTGTAATTGGTATAATAATATTCAAACTGCTCTTGATAACCTAATATTAGATCTCAATAAAGAAAAAGTTAATAGTAAGGTTTGAATACGCTTAAATAGCATTCAACTTTACCTTCAACTTATAAAATCCAACTATTCAAAAATGGATGCAAGTGAGATTGTTGCTAATGCAGCAGGAAAAGGAGTATACCATGCCAGATGCATTCGTTCATGAGCAAATGATTATGTAATAACATATAAAATTCCTTATTCTCGTCGAAGACATCATGCTAAAACTTGGAGTTTTCTTTGGGATAAAGACATCCTTCTACAAGTAACATCATATATTCGAAAATATAAATGGGATATTACTTCACAAACATTAATGGCACAAATGAATGAGATTATTTTACCAGAAATTGGATTTGCATTACCACCAACTATTCATCTTAATACTGCAAGAAGCTATTTAAATGAACTTGGATATGTATATACTAAGGTGAAGAAAGGAATATATATAGATGGGCATGAAAGAGAAGATGTGGTAGCTTATCGAAAAATCTTTTTAGAACGAATGAACCAGCTTGAGGATAGAATGCCCATTTTTTCTGAAGACAATTTAGAAGAAATAATGTGGTTGGATAAAAATGTACAATCACTTATCCTTGTCACACATGATGAATGTATCTTTTCAGCTTATGATGGAAGTCGAAGTCTTTAAATTCTAAATGGAGAATAACCATTATGAAAAAAAGGTAATGGACGTTCAATCCATGTCAGTGAATTTTTGACTGATGTTTGTGGTCGACTTATACTTTCAGATAATATATAAATATCAAATGATTCTCTTAAAGAAGCTTGTGTAATTACATATTCAGGAAAAAATAATGATGGATGATGGAAAGTTGAGGACTTAATAAAACAGGTGGTTGAACATGTTATACCTATATTTGAAGCACGCTTTCCAGAATGCCAAGCCTTATTTACATTTGATAATGCATCAAATCATACTGCTTTTTTAGCTGATGCACTTATTGCTAAATGTATGAATCTCAATCCCAGTAGGAAGCAATCAAAGATGCACAGTACATCTTTTGGTGAAGGAATTCAGCAAGACATGATCTTTCCAATAGATTATCATATTTCTAAATTGCGTGGACAACCGAAAGGATTAAAACAGGTTTTAATTGAAAGGGAATTGTAGTCAAATGAGGGATTAAAGTTAGAAGAAGCACGAAAAGTGATGGGTTAACAATCAGATTTTTTAGCACAAAAGGGACAATTAGAAGAAGTCATTACTGCAGCTGGGCATCAAATAATATTTTATCCTAAGTTTCATTGTGAGCTCAATTATATTGAAAACTTTTGGGGTGCAGCTAAAAAATATAGTCAATCACATTGTGATTATTCATGGATAGGATTACAAAAAACTGTTCCATTAGCTCTTAATTCTGTCTCACTTACAACTATTTGTCGATATGCAAGAAAAGTATTTCGCTATATGGATGTATACCGAAAAGGTTTAACAGGTCAGGTAGCAGAATTCGCAGTTAAAAAGTACCATTCACATTGTTAGATTCCCGATTCAGTTTTACAATCAATTGATATTAATAATTAGTTTTGTTTGGGATAAGTTATAAGCAAAAAGAAAGAAAAAATTTAGTGATTTTATGAATACATATCAGTAATACATAGCAATTAATAAAAT